GTTTTTTATTGTTTCTTCATGTTTCTTGTTGTTTTTAATAAAGTAATTGCCCCATATAGGACCAAAACAAAGGTGAAATGCAAAAATAGGACTTGATATGTTTTCTTCCCTTAATAGGCCCAATTTACTCCTACGATTAAAAACATGAAAATTAGCATCCCAATTTTGCCCTTGAACCCATTTACACATTCTCTCCCCCCTTCCCCCCTTATAGATATGTTTTCTTCCCTTAATAGGCCCAATTTACTCCTACGATTAAAAACATGAAAATTAGCATCCCAACTTTGCCCTTGAGCCCAAAGTAACAGCATCCCATCTTCTTCGCATAGATCTGCCGCGTCGCTTACTCCACCGAATGGTGCTTCCATTGCCTTTGCCTTCATCGCCTCCACCGCCTCCGCTTCGCTGCTTTCTCCATCCACCATCATCAACTCTATTTTGCTTTGGATTTCAGGTTTCTTCTTCTTCTCCTTCTTCTTCCCCTTCTCCTCCTTCTTCTTCTCCTCCTCCTCCTTCTCCTTGTCCTTCGTCTTCATCTTCCTTTTTCAAATTTTGATTCTTTTGTTTTTCAGGATTTTGACATGGATTTGTCCAATTTTTCAGACTTCTATTTTCGTATTTCTAATTTCTTACGGAGTATTTCTTAGTATTTGAAATTTTTTGATTTTCTGGATTTTTGGATGATGACATACGATTTTGCCATGTTTATGGCAGAAATGTACACTGACAAAATCATATTATGGCAAAAAAGTTTATTAAACTGCCTTTCTGTTTTTTTTAAATAACTTCGTATTTGTAATTTTCAATTGTGTTAGCTTGCTTATTCAATTACAATTTGGAATTTTTCGAACATTTGATTAATCATTTCATGTTTTTGCCAAATATATGGCAGTTTTGTGTTCCTATTTCAAGATAGATCTGCCAAATCTGTGGCAGATTTGAAATCCTTGTTCATGGCAGAATTCAAATGAATCTACCAAATTAAATCTGACAACAATATGGCAGTTTTTTTGAGTCAGAGTTGTGATGGTGCTCAGTGGTCAAGTTTCCACCGGTGGTGGTCGGAGGATGGAGGTAGTTGCGGCGGATGGTGACTCCGATGTGGGAGGGCGGTGACAGGCGGTAAGGGTGGAGGCATACAACGCCGGTGAGGGTGGTGACAAGCGGCGGTGGCAAGTGGCCACTGCGTTGAGGCTGGCTGAAGTTCTCGTGTGAAATATTAGGGTTTCCTGAAATTTTAATTTTACTTTTTAAATTTTATATTCAAATAAAACTGAATGGGGGCATTTTTGTACAAATAGGTATTTTTAAGTCCTATGAAACATAGACTCGTTTTTTGGTCCTGTTTGTGCACACCAAACTTGTTTTAGTCCTAGATAGGTCATTAACTCTTTTTAATATTCATAAGTCCAAATTTATCTTTCAGATGGTTATATATATGATTTTTATATCAAAGAAATAACAAAGATAAATAGATAGCTTAAAAACAATGAAAATCGAAATCCAACATGACGCAACAAAAAACAACATGATGCAACAATAAGCAACATGATGCAACAAAAAAATGAAACAAAAGCAACACGAAAATGTTTTTGCATATCTTTAATTCTGCATACATGATTGTCAGAATGATGCCACCTTTTATCATAGTATCTCCTATTGATTTTTTTTACAAGCCAAAGAACAATAAAAATTGAAATCCAACATGACGCAACAGAAAACAACATGATGCAACAATAAACAACATGATGCAACAAAAAATGAAACAAAAAGCAACACGATAATGTTTTTGCATATCTTTAATTCTGCATACATGACTGTCAAAATGATGCCACCTTTTATCATAGTTGCTCTTATTGATTTTTTTTACAAGCCAAAGAGTGTTTAACAATAAAATCTCATTGCATAGATTAATAAGATATAATTAACCAATTAAGACTGTAAGCTTTCTTCTCACTCGGGCCCCATGAAGATAATACTCGTCTTGATCGTGTGCCAAATTTTCTCTTTATTCAAATTGAACTTCTTAATCAACTATTTAAGCAAGGGAGACTCTTTAAATTTGGCACCTAAATCTGCATACTTTTTTGATTTTCTTCATTCCAATGATTGAGAAAGTCAATTTGAGGTAATTCTACACCAGAGATTGATTCTATCTCACCCTAGCCAGACAGTAACCCTGCATTAGTTTAAGTGGAGGATATCAAAACAGCAAGTGCCAGAGGCATGTTTTGCACTTAATGACAAGGCAAAATGATGACAATGCAAGGCTTACGAAATTATCAAAGTAGCTACTCTTTTAACTCCAAATACAAAGATAAAAAATGGACAATGCAGAGCATCAGAGGCATGTTTTGCAATGCTGAAAAGTCCTTGGCAATGAGCTAGATCTAGAGAAGAAGCTTTCTGTATCAAAACAAAGTGAAGAAGACTTGAAACACGTGTTGCAACAACAATTATTATGCTTAGAAATATAGGTTGAAGCAAAAAAAAATACTGGTTGAAGCAAAAAAAATACTGGTTGAAGATGCTTATGAAAGGTTGTTTGGGGCAGGAAATGCTTCTCAAGTTCTATAGGGGTTTTAAAAAGAGCTTCGAGGACGACTGCAAATAAAACAATTTAAATTAGACAGGGCATTACAGAGAGAGGGAGACTTGAAGTTTAAATTGAAAATTTTGAGTGAACAGTTGTCTGATAAAGACAACTCATTGCAGAAATCAGAGAATACTTGTGAAGTGCTTAGGAAAAAGCTTACCTCAACTAATAATAAATTGAATGTTACCGAATTTCGGAAAGAGACTGCTACATCATCTAATGAGAGAGATTTTGGCATTACGGTTCATGAAATGACAAAAACACAAAAACATACAACAGGATAGAGCTATTTTCAAACAAGCCTTGTAGAAATGCGAAAACATGATCCAAATCTGAAAGTAAAAGAAATGTAAAATCGATCTACGGAAGAGCTAAAGAGCAGTCCACATAAGAAAAATTAAAAAATCAAACAATGTTTTATAGAAAAAATAAGTTAATATATCTAGTTAAATCGCAAATCGAATTGTTAATGTCGATGACAACACATCGTCTCTTGGTTTTTTAGGGAAATTAAATTGATTCACATGAAGAAAAATACGGAACAGTTTAAACCTGAGATACATACTTTCACAAGAAGAAAATCTAACTCGTGAGCTGACGATCAAATGGCTCAGGCCTGAGATGCTTGGACAGAGGGGGTAATTGAAATCAAACGCTGTGTCGGGCTTCTCGTCGGCGTTTAAACGCTGCGTTGAGCTTCTCATCGACGATGACGGCTTGGAGCTTTCCGTCTCGATCGGTGCAGAGATAATGATTTTTGCGATTGAAAGGGGAGGGAGGTGAGCGGCTGAGGATCTGAGCGTAGAGAGAGGTGATCTGGCCGGTATATGGTTTTGAGTTATTTTGACTATTTTTGAAATAAAATAACCAAATTGAAAATATGAAAGTCTAAAAATGAAAAAAAAAATCGTGTGGGTCATACATGAAATGCTAATGATAAAAGTGGCTATAACGGGATATTACCACTAAATGAAATAAAACTGGACCCATACTCGTTAAAAAAAAGGCAAGTCTGGTCATCGTTGTCTAAAGTCGGCCCATTGATAGCCACCCACAAATTTACAGCCTGTCATTGTGAATATCTATTGGTCCGGTTCTAAACCGGTTTTATTTAGGTCCCGTCTCTCGTCCACATTTTCATCAATTCCGGTTCCGGTTCAAATGGGTCCAGTCAGTCCAGTTTTAAGTGGCGCTCATCCACCGCTAGTCTAGGTCTGTCAATGGGTCGGGTTTAGACCCGGACCCGACCCGGTTGTTTTTAACGGGTACGAGTCTATATTTTATTCCGTTTACCCGGACCCGGATTCGGACCCGTTAGTATTTTAAATAAACGGGTCGGTAATGGTACATATGATTCCGACCTGTTAAGAATTCGGACCCGTTTAAAATTTATTATTTGTATACACAGGCACTAATGCATAGAGTGATTAGTTATAACACTTTAAATAAAATAGAAACTGATATACATACATAATAATAATACATAAAGTTATTAGTTGTGATTCTTCAATGAAAATATACACATTAATACATAACTACTATATAAGTGATACTGATCGAGATAGTAAGATACCCTAAAACTAATCCCCATTTTAGCCCTAAATACATACTGATAAAGTTGTATTTGGCTCGGTAGGAAAAACACACTATTTATTACTAATATTATTAATATTATTATATCATTATCATATATAATACTCCCTCCGTCCCGTTGGAATGTTCCCGGTTTGACCTACCCACATATTAAGGAAATAAACTTATCAGGGGGTAAACTTTACTGTTTCGACACTGTTTGGCACTGTTTCGACACTGTTTGACACTGTTTTGCACTGTTTGACCCTGTTTTGATGTATGATAACTTTCCATTTAGGGAAATGAGAACTTTCCAATGGGATTTCCAAAAAAGGAAAGCGAGAACATTCCAACGGGACGGAGGGAGTACTACATATAATTTTATACTCTTAGTAGTCCAAGAAACCTTTTTATGGATTAATTTCTAGTTTATTCTACGAGTTTTTTGTTAGAGAGAAAGCGATGCAAAGTGTGAAGCTATATGTCTGTACAAGAATCGATACTTTATTAGATAAAAATACTATTTTATATGAGAGAAATTACTTTTTTTGAAAAGTGAAGATATATTTTCCTTTTGAATTTGTACATTTTGTTTTACATTTCATATACATGTTTTGTTATTTTTACAAAGTTTATAATAGTGTGTGTATCATATTTGATGGGCGGGTCTACCCGACCTGATTCAGAGATCAATTGGATCTGGGTCCGGGTCCAAATTTTCAGATCCCCAGATAAACGGGTCGAATCCGATTTCATTACTAACTTAGCGGGTCCAGGTCTGGAACCCTCTCTCCCAGCAGGACCCCACCCATTGACGGGCCTCTGCGGTACCCAGCAATCGTATATTATCAAACGCCGTCCACATTCCCCCCTAACACTAGTCCCCATCGGAATCATATAACCTCGAAAACCCAGAGCAGCGAGGAATGGTCCGTCGTCGTCGCCGCAAATCGGGTCTCTGGGAACACTCAGAGCAGCGAAGTAAGGCTCTCTCTACTCTTCCCAGTAACTTTCACCCTAAGCGTAGAAATGTAAAAGGTGACATGGAAAACCCTGCCAAGAGGTTGCGTACAACGTTACGCCCCATTCCCTTCATCCCCTCAAAAATTCTAGATTTTTGTAGTCACGAGAACCTGCTCAAGGGTCTTGGGCTTTGGCAGTTTGTCAACGTAGAGTTTAACCAGAAGGTGGATGTTGATTTGATAGCACAGTTGGTTGCCACTTACGATCCAAAACTGAGACGTGGCATTGTCAATGGATTAACGATTAGGGTGAGTAGGGTCGACTTCGCCAGAGCATTTGGTTTACCATTAAGGATTAAGAAGAAGAAGAAAAAGGGTGTGAGAAATGAGACATTGTCAGACGAGGTTATAGGGTTTATTGAAGATTTTTTGTCTATTTGGATGGTCTTATGTGATGACACATGTTTGTTGCCAAACACGGTGTTGAGATGTATTAGGTTGGTCAAGGATGGTAAGCCTGAGATGGTGGACTGGGCCAGCCTCTTATGGTACATGGTAGAGAAGGAATTGGCACAGGGTGATAAGCTGGAGGACTGCTACTATGCAGTTCATTTACAGTGTGTGATTAAATCACAGCACAGGGAGGCTTTCTTCAGTGAAAAGGCTGAACTTGTGGAGTTGGATGTTGATATGGAAGAGGACAGAACTGTTCAAGAACAAGAGAAAACTGCATTCAGAGGATCTAATATTGACTTGAAATTGGGTTTCGATTTGGAGAAGACAGAAGAAGAGACAGTGTTAGATGAAGAACAGCAGTCTCCTTTAGCCCAAAATGATAAACCCGTTTTATCCTTTTATCCTAGAAAACAGCGCAGGACAATATCGAATGATCATGAAGAGAGAGGAGAAGGGATAAAAAAATTGCTAGACAAAGATGTAGGCAGGGAATACAGAGAAGAGGAAGGATTGGAGGATAAATTCCATGTCATGGGTAATGCTGATATTCTTGTAGAGGATGGAGTCGCAAATAATTTTCTTCAAACAATGGACGTTGATGAACAAGAATGCATGGCATTAGATGATTTTGAAGATGAGAAAAAAGCATGCAAAGATCTGCTAGTCAAGGAAGGATCAGTGTTAGAATGCAGAGATGAAGAAGGAACAGAGGATAGATTCCATGTTCTGGGCAATGGTGATATTCTTGTAAGGGATGAAGGAATCACTTGTAATTATCTTCAAAGAATGGAAGTGCGTGAACAGGAAGGCATTGTAATAGATGATCTTGAAGAAGAGAAAAAAGTAAGCAGTGGTTTGCTAGACAATGAAGGGGTAGAAGAACATAATGATAGTACTCCTGAAGTGGATGGCACTGAAAATTTACTTCAGAAAATTGAAGTGCCCCAGATTCATGGTCTGGACCCAAATGGCAAAAGAGATGCTGATGGTTATAACAATCATCAATCACAAGGGGAAAATGAAAGCTTAAATGCTGGAGGCGGCCCATCAGATGAAAGCACAACAAATATTAAGGCGCTCTTGGATCAAATGCAACAACATCTGATTGTAACCAGGATGAAGCAACAAGAACAGGATCAGATTGTGTCACAACTCGACTCCCGGAGGCATTTCCTGCTCTCTGAGTGCAGCAAACGTGATTCTCTAATTGCACATATGCAAAGGATAAAGTACGAAGAGATACAGAAAAGGGATAACATGATTTTCCGTCTCCAAAGTGAGCTTTCTATGATGGGTAACATTGTCAGCGGGTATGCGAATGCCTTGAAGGATGTCAACAGGGACTTTGCAAAGTGCAGGAAACTTGCTCAGATTCGACGCAAGCATGACGAGGAATACAAGGCAATGTGTTTGGTACTTGAAGAAAAAGCCAAAGAAGCTGAAGAAGGATATGCTGTTGAGTTTGGAATGTGGGAGGATAAGGTGATGGCAATGGGTATCAGGCTGAGGAGTCTTTCATCTGAAGTTGATGTGCTCAAAGAGCTTCAAACCAAATGGAGAGAAGCTCATCCTCCTGATGAGGTACAAGTAGAGGTAAAAATGGTGTCTTCTATGAGTTAAATGTGGTAAAGACTAAAGAGTACTGTTGAATGACTTGTTTGGTCTATTGTTGATTAGTTGTTTTGCACTCGCAGGTCTTTGGTTGAGTCTAGGTCTGCATGCCACTAAACTACTTAATTGGTTTTTGTAAAGATTGACTAACACCATGTTATGATTTTCTTTCTTTAATGTTCCATCAAGTTCTCTGTTTTGCACACACATATTTGCATGACCAGATCTGTAAGGTTTTCTGCTTCATTTTGTAAATTGCTTAATTGGTTTCTCTAACGGTCAACTAACACTATTTTATGATTTTCTTTCTTTAATATTCCATTAACTTCTTTGTTTTGCACAGACGTAATTTTTTTATAAATGCAGACATATTTACACTCCAATTCTGCAAGTTTTTTTGCTTCATTATTTCAGCCATGACAGTGTTGTGAGACTCTAGATTTTTAACAACCATACTATTGTATATTTAAAAGAAATAATTACATATTTATTTATAAAATAAAATTTGATTGGAAAAATGTGACATTTTAAGTGTAGTGACTATGTAGTCCCTCTTTTTGAAAATGGCATTATAAATAAGGGGTATTCATGTGATATATTGAAAATAAAATTTATAGACAAAGTACGACTAAATGGCCACGACGCTAGCAAAAAATGGTCTTTTCCAAATAAAGATGTTACCTATTGTGCATAAATTCTATTTTAGGACTGTAATATGTTAGTCCTTACAACACAGGATTACTATAAATTTCAAATGGTCTTTGCCAAATAAAGATGTTACCTATTGTGCACAAATTTTATTTTAGTACTGTAATATATCAGTCCTTACATACAGGATTACTATAAATTTCAAATTATCTAAGGGTAGGGATACGTTCGGTGAAATACTGAAATGATCGGATACAAAAATGACAGGTTTTACAAAATATCTTCATTCTCTTTAAAGACGATTTTGGCATTTTCTGAACCTTTGAGTGAGCACTTTCTTAAATCTCCTATACATAGCCTTACTCTAAAGCTTATTAATGTATAACATTTATACTAACAAATAATTGAATAATTACAATTTTTGCTCCCTTTGAGAGTGGAGTTCATTATTATGGCATTGTCATACAAAAGAATCCCCAAAAGAAAGGATCAAATGAATGAAGAAGAAAAAGAAGAGTTACAGAGATATGGGAATGGATCAGAAAACACAGAATGACATAGCTTTCAATTAGAAAACAAACGAAACACTCAGAAAGACCAAATACAAAACACAAACTACCCATGGCCAAAGGTTGCAGAGCAGCACTGTAATAATGGGATTGATGGCCCCTCCTTTGGGTGAGTGGGGGTAACCGCTGCCTGCAGACATCCAAGAAACCTTATCCCCCCATGCAAAGAAAACATTTTGTAGGTTCCACTTGACATTATTACACACATAAATGCACAACTCTTCTTTTTCTCCTCTGAATCTCTCTCTCTCTCTTTCCTGCATCGTTATTTATCTCTTCAACTCATTATCATATTGAAACTCATCAAACTTTTTCCCTGAAAGTGAGCTTACAAATGAGTTTCTCTGGACGTATAATTGATCATTTTCCAATTTCCATGCACGTTAATGACGATGATGAAGTGATATTATGGATTGATTTAAGATGGAATTTGGGGATATGTCGACTTTCAAGCTCATCTTCTTAATTAAATGTTTCTCTAATTACCATTGGTTAGTACATCGAGTTTAATTAGGAAAAAAAGAACCTAACATGGAGAACCAACATCCCAACAAAATTACATTTTTGCACAACTTTTATGTATATAACAGACAATTCAATCTTCTCTCGGCTAGTACAGATAAACAAAAGCCCTTCTTCCTAGTAGTAATAAAATGCCGGTAAAATGCCGGGTCGATTCGCAGGGAAATGGTTGACATTATAAAGTTCGGGATTTGGATACTAAGTATATAAATGTGCAGGACTTCGTCTTTGATTTTAGTTTAAAAGGATTACAAATGCTTCAGGATTCACCTAAACGCTTTACTAGGATTTAATACTAGTTCTTTGCCAATGATTATGAATACGATAGTGTTAATATATCCCCGACCCTGATTAAGGCAGTGAGAATGTGATTTTCATTACTTGTAAGTTTCGTTATGTGTAAGTTTCGTTACGGCTTGCATTCCTTTATAGAGACTAAATTGCTGGCCATGTTTTGAATAGAACTATCTAAATAGTTTAGCTGATTTTAAAACAAAATACTACAACCTCTCATTGGTCTACGCTTGAACAATTTAATGGAGATATGTATCCGAGTTCCAATGCAAGCAGGTATAGCGGTAAGTAGTTCTCACCCAAACAAAATCAATTCTACATGCTACTGTTCTGTTTTAAACTTTCAGAGAAGGAATTGAGATTGCTGCTCGATGAAGTGCAACTACAATTCTCCTCCTTTTTATTGCCAAAACGTACAAGAAGTTTAGGGAAAGTAAAATCATTATCTAGCTAGGTTGATGCGCTCAAAGAGCTTCAAACCAAACGCAGAGAAGCTCCTTCTGATGAGGAGCAAGAAGAGGTAAAAATGGTGTCTTTTATGAATTAAATGTGGTAAAGAGTGCTATTGAATTACTTGTGTTTGGTTTTGGTGATCACTTGTTTTGCACCTGCAGCTCTTTGGTTTGAGTCCAGCTGTTAAAGTCATTAAACTAGTAATGGTTTTACTTTGGACTATTTTCAATCCCTAACCGGAGCAGATCAGACAAAACAAGACTTAAACAAATCAGATTAAACTGGACCTCGATAGTTATAAAATACACAGAAACTAGACATGTACCAGATTAGACTAGACCAAGCTTAAACAAATCAGACTAAACCAGATTTAAAAGTTTCAGTCCAATCAAAATCATCCTTAATTGGGTTCTCTAATAGTCAACTAACACCATTCTATGATCTTCTCTCTTTGATCCATTAAGCTCTTTGTTTTGCACACACATATTTGCATTACCAATTCTGTTAGGTTTTCTGCTTCATTCTGTACACCACGTAATTGGTTTCTGTAATGGTCAACCAACACCATTTTATGATCTTCCTTCATTGATGTGCTCCATTAAGTTTCTTGTTTTGCACACATTTGCACTCCAATTTTGTAAGGTTTTCTGCTTCATTATTTCAGCTACGGCAGTGTTGTGACAGTTTTTTTTTTTTTTTTTTGCAAATATGACTTTCTTGGAACGTGAAAGCAATTGTTTTTAGAACAATTCATATTAAGTCTTGTAACTTGAGTGACGACAAGGATTACTATATATTTCACATAAGCTAGAGGTATGGATATATTTAGTGAAAGGATTGGATACAAATAATCAAATATGGACTTGACAATAATATCCTGATTCTCTTGAAAGATGCTTTGGCATTTTCTGAGCCTCACTCTAAAGATTATTAATGTGGAGCATTTATACTAACAAATGATTGAATATTTACAATTTTTCCTCCCTTTGACAAAGGAGCTCATTAATATGTCATACAAAGAATCCCAAAAGAAAGGATCAAATGAATGAAGAAGAAAAAGAAGAGTTACAGAGATATGGGAATGGATCAGAAAACACAGAATCACTTGGCTTTCAATTAAAAAACCAATGAAACACTCAGAAACACAAAATTCAAAACATCAACTACCCATGCCCAAATGTTGCAGAGAACTGTAATGGTGGGATTGATGGTCCCTCCTTTGAGCAAGGTGGGGGGAGGCTGCCTGCAGACATCTAAGTAACCTTATCTTGCCTCCCATGCATAGAAACTCTTTGTAGGTTCCACTTGTCATACATAAATGCACTACTCTTCCTTTTCTCTTCCACTGTAAACATCTCTCTTTAATTTCCTGCATTGTTATTTAATTTAACCCTTCAACTTATTATCATATTGAAACTCATCACACTCTTCCCTATTTTACTTAGTGTAAAAATAAGTTTAATTAGAAAAGGATTTCACAGGACATATAATTGACATTTTTACTTTCACTTTAATGAGTTAATGGTATTGTTATAGAAAATAATCGGTCTGTGATATAAGATGGAATGTGGGGATATTTCAACTTTCACCCTCAGATTCTTAATTAATTGTTTCTCTAATAACCATTGGTTAATATATGGAGTTTAATTAGGGAATAAAGAACTTCACATGGAGGGCCCTACATTGTATGATGATTTCTTGTTTTCTGGAGTGGGGATGGGGGCATGTGTTGTTGGTTCGTACACTATTAATAAAATGTAATAATAATAATAACAAATTAAATCCATCTATATATTCATGATACTTTTGATTTCTGAACACTATCTTTGTTTACGATCATTAATATAGAATTTAAAACAGAAGAATGGAGATGTATGGATATACAGTATAATATATACGGAGTAGTATATACCTTCAATTCATCAATGGGCAAGTTGCTCTTTCTTTTCAGAACAATTAGATTGATCAGCCAGGGGTGGTTGTGTACCATTATCTTCCACATTCTTTAAGTTCTGCTGGTAATAAATTTGCCTCAGCCTCTCTATTTCCCTTTTCAATGCGTCTTGGTGAGCTGCATCCATCCATTTTTATCAAATTTAACTAATAATTCAAGTAAACCAATTAAACAAAATTCTTTCCAATAAATATTTTAGATAGATCTAGAAATTTTTTGCGTCCCTTATAACTTTGTCAACTTTCCTTTTTTGATTGTTTCAAAAACTTTGTCACTTTTCCTTTTAATCAATCAATTTGTGGCTCTTGTTACTTCTCTCCTCTGCACAAATCTCTATCGTACAGTTTTTATTTTATTATTCTACGTGCTGGTCAAACTTGGCAATACTTTTAGGAACGGAGGGAGTATTTCACTACTATATCTCCTTAGTCAACCCCTCCCGTACATAAACAAAGTGTAATGATTTAATAATGTACAAAACAGAGTAATCAACCTCTTTGGCTTCCGAAAAAACATTGTCATTTTTCTAAGTAAATCTCTCTTCTTTGCATAAATCTTAGTTACATGATATTTACTTTTCTTAGAATGAAGCCATGAAGGTAATATGAAGGAGGGTATTACCATCTTTGAAGACTTTATCTTGGGCAAGAGCAGCGATTCTTTGCTTGAGGACACTGTTATCTACATTCAGAACTAGACGTTGGTGGTCCAAATATGCGACCCTCGGTGACAGTACTGAAACCTCCGCCTTTTTCACCATTTACAAAACCAAATCATCAAATTAAAAATACAATTAAACACTCAAGAAGATAATTGATTGATAGATAATTGATTGATAGACATAAAAAAACCTTACACGGACATGTGTAAAAAGTGTGTACACAAAAAAGTGTGTACCTTTAGAATTTTTCTATAGGGATGGATATTTCCATATTCCCCACTCTAAAATAGCTAGCGCGACACAAAAAAGTTCATATGGATTTTTAGTTTTTATCCATATAATACCAGAATAGTGAAGGAGTAAATTCAGGGTCTTCGCCCACACCGGACGAAAACTTCTCTAGTACAGTTGTCGTGATTTGAACATGAGAATACAATCCAACTCTCTCACTCGATCACCATAGAGCTACCCGTGTGAGTATTTTGTGGGGGTCTCAAAATGAAGTTTACATTCTCATAATTAAGAAGTAATTAGCAAATATATTTACAATCCTTGTTTTTTGGGGAACTAATTTGACTCATATTATAACTGTGTAGTACTCCTATAACACATTGCAACATTAATACGTTTTAAGAGATTAGGAATGAAAATAAAAAAGAGAAAAAAGAAGGAATGTATACGTACTTGTAGAGTGGAAACACTACGCTCTAGCTCCGATATGTACTGCAATTTCCTCACTCTGGATCGTTGTGCTGATTGTCTGTTTGCCAATATCCTAATCCCAATTTTAATCACAAGATTAATTCAATAATCATCATCATTTATACGTAGTATTTATTGTTAAATTAATGTATAAACATTTTTGTTAAGCATGGGTTGTGGTACGGGCTAGAATAATTAAGCTGCAATTCACTCCGTAATTACGCATGAGTCACAATCATTTAAATATGCAGCGCACGTGCTACAATAATTAAGCTGCAAATGAAATACATGTAGATATGAGCAATACTTTTTGACTTTTTGTGGATTAAGGTGCCCAAATACTTGTCACAAGTCCATCTCATTCTCTCACATATATATATACTCATTCCGTCCCCTAAAGAAGTTCCTAATTTGACCTACATATATATTTATGTAAGGTAGAGTTTTGTTTTGACTTTCCAAGTATACCCTTACTTTATGTCAAATCAAACAAAAAGTGGGTAAAAAGTAAGGGTAGTTGTGACTTTTTGGTTAAAAGTGGTTTCCTTTTGTAGAAATGAGAACTTTTTGAGAAATCCATAAAAGGAAAGTGGGAACTTATTTACGAGATGAAGGTAGTACATGATATATACGGAGTATGTATATATACGTATATATGCATAATATGATAATATTTCATTCGCGGAGACTTTTTGATATGTAATTTGAGCTTTAAAGAAAAAAGTTATGTAGGCATATATATTGCATACTCCCTCCGTCTTGCTATCAATGAGACAAAAAAAGTGACACGCAAATTAATAAAAAATAGTTTATGTGGTTGATATTGAATTGTTAAAGTAAGATTAAAGTAAGAATGATTTAGAGCCACACAAAATTTACCAAATTTGGTATAGGACAATCTTAATGAGACGGACTGGTAAGGTAAAATGGGACAATCATAGCAGGATGGATGTAGTATTATATTACTTGAAAAAGATATTGTTGCCTAAAATGAATGTAGTTTTTCCTCATCAAAACTGAAAACACTATACATAATTTTCACAATTATGATAATGATGCCTTGGTTTAACTAATCGGCCACTTATTTGTACAAAATACATATGATCTTATATTCAAATTCACATTTTAGAATACGTTCTATTTGGTCATCCACAATTCCACATCCAACCAACGTAAATAAACATTATATATAGACCATTTATTAATGTATGAGACTAAGAGAAATGTTAGATTAACCGGTAATTATAGGCTAGCTTACTCAATTTAGGTTCAATTTTCTTATTTATGGGAATAAATATGACTGAAATTGGGTTTTTTGGCTGAATACACTCGCAAATCGCAATGACTATTTCAGAGATTTATATATATATGTTTCTTTATATTCTATTAATAAAATATGTACATATTTTCTACTAGTATGATTCAGCAGCTATTTTTAATTTAGACATTTCCACCATAATATGAACAATTTCAATCTACCCGTATTACCAAATTAAATAGATATTACAAGTAGAAATTATAATTGAAATAAAGTGAAATGATAGGAATAACATATTTTCCTTGTCAAAAAAAAAAGAAACAAAACATTCATTTTGAGATAACCCAAAAAGTAGAAATAAATGTCATATTTGAGATAATTATTCCCTAATTAAAAGGAGATATATAGAGGTGTGTAGAAAAGTAGAAATATAAATTAATCCAAAAATGTATGGAGATCTATAGTATGTGATACATTTGTCATTACCGAAAAAAGGTTAACTAGTTAACTAGACAAAAACCACAAAGTAATAATGAATACTTATTAAAATTAATAAAGTGAAATTAGTGGATTTGTATAAAAGAAATACGAGTAAAACGGAGTACTAATTCTCATATACCAATATGCATGGAAGAATTTCATTATGAATTTTTAAGTATATTAGGGATGATGAAAAGCCATTAGTGTTTAATTATTCCCCAATTACCTCTTAATTCTTTTTGGATCAACTATCTTTTCCGATGAGTAATCCGCCGCATCATGAGCTGCTGTGGTCCTCGTTTGATCCTCGGACTTGCATGAGCTCTCCACTTCCTCCGGTTCCCTCTTGAACTGCGGCGGCGTCTGGTAGAGGCGGAGGTGGTCGGAGCCGCCGTTCTTCAGCTTAACATTATCATCGTTACTGTTGCTGTTGTGATCGGACGGCGACGACGTGTTGGAGCTGGTTGGCCCCACCGAATTGGCGATGTCGTCGTTGAACATGGACATGAGCTGCTCGTCGTCGAACCGGTCGAACTCGTTACCATTCATCCCGGAACCCCCGCCGCCGGCAGGAGTGGACAGCCGCCGGCACTCCTCCGCCATCGGGCTCTCCAAGAAGGCGATGGAGTCGCTGATCGACCTCCGGTGCGAGCCGCGCTTGACGGACGAGAAGTCGAGGAACTCGTCGACCCAGGACGGCGTGAGAGAGGGCACCGCCGTGGCCGGCGGCTTCTGAAGAGAAAAGTCGTGCCAAGTGGGTGTCACGTTTGGAGCTCTCGGAGGTAATTGAGCCATTGCTGATGGATAGAGCTTTCTTAGCTTATGAATGTGTGCAAATTTATTAGTGTCAGAAATACGAAACACTTACTAATGAATACTACGTACGACTCCGTATGTAATCACGTTAACGTACGATTTTATATACTCAGTAACATGCATGCAAGTCTCATTAAGGAGCCAATCTATGTAATTATATAAATCAATCATGAAGATCGAAGAAATAACTAATTTATAATGCACAAGTTTTTGTACGTGTTATGGAGGAATAGATACAATAATAATACGTGCAGAGTCGGTGAGCATATCTCAACAAGTAGATAAAGAATGCCACAAAGGGTAAATCTTGAATTTGAATCCCGCCAATTATGATGAAAGATTACTATGTAAAAATGCACGTGTAAGTATCTGGATCGGAGACCCTACTCATTTTTTGTCAGTTTTGTGATTAAAACTCAATTTATATCTTCTCGATATGGAGATAAGATGTCATTCTTTTTTATAATAAAAGTAGTAGATGGTAAGAATGTAGGATTGATTTAAAGTCAATCTAGGCTCCGACCAGAAGGCAATGGGGTAGTGGGGGTGGTGGGGGGGCGGGGGAGGGGATGTCACATGGGGGAAGAAGATTGGGACAGCTATCAACAGCTGGTATATAGAGAAGTTGAGACCCAACTGTATAACTGGAAAGCAGCAATATTTTATTAACCCAGAGGAATCAGACACCACGTGCCCTTGTAGTAGCACCAAAAGTTACTCGATCACTAGCAACTAGTTTAGCTTTGTGTATATTTGGTCCAGTCGTTTCTGGGTGAGATTGAGAATCAGTTTCCCGGTCATCATCTCAACTTCTAAAAAACTGATTTTAGGAGTAAATTAGAGAATCAAAATCACTTCTCCACTTTCACCCAAACACTTCAACTTCTGTTTGTGCTCCCTAAAGGAGCAGAAACAGTTTTAAGAATCAGATCCAAACACCGTACCGCTCTTTTTTTTTTTTGCTTGCGGTTAACTAATGGTGCAGGGAATTGATTTCAAGTTAATTTAGTGCTCTAATAGGTTCTGTGTTGTCTGATCTAAATTGGTGTGTGTTTTTATAGTATCTCGTTATAATATCTTGTATGATGTGAATTTTACCATTGTCAAAGTATGTTCTCATTTGATCTCGTTGAATTTGTTTGAATTGAGTCAATTTTATACTCCCTCCGTCTCAATTTGATTCGCAAAATTTCCTATTTTGGTTATCCTAAAATGATTTTCCATTTTCTATTTTAGGTATGCAAATAAGAATAAAGTGACAAATCTACCGTTACTTTTACTTTTTCCCCATTAACTTAAAGACATCTACTTTTAGGAAGATGAGCAAAAGTGTAAAAAGAAAACATCATTTATTGTCATTCCTTAATCCTTGTGCCGGTCAAAGTTTGCAATTCAATTCGGGACGGAGGGAGTATTGAATTGGTATAGTTTAGTAGGGTGTGGCCATCTGGTAACACTGTTATCAGGTTTATCAGGCTCATCAGTTAATTTTTTCACCAAACACGTAACTTTTGTTTTCGCGCGCTGAATGGTATAATAATAAGAAAATGTAAGGTATTTTTAGCTGAAGTTATAAGAAAAAGTTACTTTTCTGGCTGTATTGGCTAAAATTACTGTAGACGAAATTTTTAGATATTTTTACATGTAATTTTTTTTATTAGTAAAATATATTTTAAATATAATTTTTTCTTATATCAACAGAATCAGTCAGTGCAGCCACTTCAGCCAGAACTTTAAATTATTTGAACGGTCGCGCAATGAATATGCTTCATTAATTAAGAGCGATAAGCGATCTATGAATGATCGTTGCTAACCTAATGAATTGTACGAGCTACTCAAATTTACTTCTCTCAAAAGTTTGAAGTTCTTTTTGAGAACCTAAGATTACTCTGGATCACCATATATTAATAAAATGGTAAAAACGATGGTCGATGGGTCATTCTTTCACTCTACTTCTTATAGCATTTTCTTTTTTTGGATGAACCGTAAATATATATATCATCCACAGTAAAGGTTACAAAAATTAAAGCTCCCCCACCCCCTCCTGTTAAGATAGGAGAGGATTGGAAGAAGCTTTCAATTCAAAACAATCATCACAAAAAAGATAGCCAAAGGGCTCAATATGCCGCGACCCAGAAAGTCAAAAGAACAGAGTAGAAATGCGGCTAGGTGCGTGCACTCAAACACTTCGGATCTATGTACCGAGGCTCTCCAATGAGTCTATTGTGATTTCATCAAAATGTGATCAAATCATGTGGGTATATGCTGTAGAGTACCTTATATACCACATGTTTGACCTTGACAATAACCTCCTCCCCCGTCTTGTTTTTGTCATCAAATCTGCACTCATTCCTAGCGTGCCAAATTGAGTACACAGTTGCACAAAATGCAATGAGGGCATCTTTTGCTTTCAACGTCGAACCTCTATACGTCTTCATGATCCACTTGATCGAACTAAGCAAGGTAGACATCTCATGTCTTAGTCCCAACCACTTCGTATAGCATTTTCTGTAATCATGTATTGATGTTGTCTATATAAATATACAAAACTTCTAATGCATGCAAATGAGAATATTAGTAGCCGTGTATATCGATTATTCATTTTTAATTTCACCGTTTCTATTTATGGAAACATTACTTTACTACGGAGTATTTCATACCACCTCTATATTACTAGATTTTACCCTACAACAACAACATCCGAGCCTTAATCCCAAAAGAATTTTGAGTCAGATAACATGAATCGATCAATGATATTGATGCCAAACAGAGAAGATGGACAAGAAAGGGAAGAAGAAAAAAATAAGATAAAATGAATAAAATAAATATAAATAAATATAAGATAAGAATAACACAAGAATATAAGAAAGATAAAAGATAAAAAAGCATAAAAAGCTAGAATATAAAAATAACATAAGAATATACAAAGATAGAGAAGGTAAATGATAAAAGAAAAGAGAGACGAAAGGTAGAAAAACATCATTCGTCTACACGGATGTGCGCTCTCCACTTTGCTCTCTCCAAAGTCGTACTCTCATCCAACCCAAGAAGACGCATATCAGTTCTGATTCCTCTAATCCAAGTCTGTTTGGGTCTTCCCCTTCTCTCTTCTCTGTCTCTTACCCTATGTTATTTTATACTCTTTATTGTCTAAAAATTATCATTCTATATCTGCTTTGTTTCATTTTGTATAAACTAGAAAAGAGGAGCTTTTGGTGCCTACGAGTATAAATTCTACTATCATTAAACTAATTGAGTCACAGTAACTTACGACTTCTCAAATGATTTATCGAGTCAGAGCGTAATGGGCTTTTGAGGTCAGTGATTCAACCTTTTGGACTATCTCAAATGCCACGCTTCTGATCAGAGTACGTATTGTACCAGATAATAATACTCCCTCCGTCCCTCTAATATTGGTACGGAAGAAAGTGGTGTGATTTTTAAAAAAAGTAGAATTATGTGGTTGATAATGAGTTGATAAAGTGGGAATAAAGTGAGAATGAATTAGAGCTACACAAATGTTAACAAATATGGTATGAGACAATAATAGGAGAACATTCAAAAATGGAAAAACTGGACAATTATAGGGGGACGGAGAGAGTAATTATATATAAGTAATCAAGTATTACCATTGCTAATAATGAGCAATCACCAACACAATGACAATTGACACATCCAAATTACGTAGTACGAGTAACTTATTAACGTTTTGATAGAATTTTATTTGTAGCTTAGGTGTCTAATTTCAAATTTAATGAAGCTATTTCTAAAATATTCAGTAAAGTAGTTATTTGTATGTAGCTATATATATCCACATAATTGGAGTGAGAGTCGTACTTGTTTTTTTCTTGACTATATAAATTGACCGCATCTCGGAATAAGATGAATCTAAACTAATTCAACAATTATATATTACACATGAAATAAACATATACGTACTAGGTCGGATTAGAACAAATCATACCAGACACAAATAGATCAGACTAAATTAAACCATATCAAATAATTTCAATTCAATTAATTAAAAACATTATTATTCAAAACGTGTAATGGGAGTAATGTTCTCATACATCTAGACTGACCGGAAGTGTCGTCTCGTTTGAGGTGCTTCCGAGTAGATTTTTTTTTGAAATTTTGTAATCATGTTCTCCATGGAATGTAAATTATATCCACAAAATTTTAGTTTAAAATTCATTTGGAAAGACATCTTTTTGAAAGGAAATTTGAAATGACAGTTAAATAAATTATTGAAAAAAAATGCATTTTTATACATGTTTTTGGCCCATAATTTTTTTCCACTTATTTATTTAAAGAGGGTTAAATAACTAATGAAAAACAATGCATTTTTATACATGTTTTTAGCACATTATTTTTCAATAATTTATTTAGTTGATTTCCGGTTTTAATTTTACACAAATTGTACATTACATGTGTTCACGTGTATTTTGGTATAAAATTCTGTCCTTTTTTATCAAATTAATTGCATGTATAGACAAACTAGAGTTGTTTACAAGTTGTGTTGTGCGTAGAACAAGAAGTTCTCATTTCATACAGTTCAGTATAAAATTCTAAGGGGGTGTTTGGAGCTGATTCTACTTCTGCTTCTTTTTTTAAAGTAGAAGTAGAATCAGAATCAATTTTCAGAAGCTGCTACCCCCAGCTTCTAAAAAAACTGATTCTAGGAGTAAATTAGATAGAGCACCAGAATCACTTCTGCATTTTCACCCAAACACTCCAACTTCTGCTTCTGCTCCCTGAAGCAGCAGAAGCAATTTTAAGAATTAGATCCAAACACACCCTAAATCTTAGATGAAATAATGGAAAAGAAAATGGATAGGACAATAGGAGCCACCATGAATAGTACACTTGTCTCATGAATCATGATAGAGGTTATGGACTTGCAGAGAAAGGGCAAAAGGCCTTATCGCAAAATATAAGTTTGATCTACGGACATATTTATGTAAGATAAAATTTTGTTTTGAATTTTCAAGTACACATACTTTTATTTTATGTCAAACTAAATAGAAAAGTGGACAAACAGTGAACCTATTTGAGAGTTTTTACTTAAAAGTGTTTTCCTTTTATAGATATGAGAATTTCCTTTTTGAGGATTTTTTGGATAATGAATGAAATACTAATTATCAGTTTTAGAGAATTAGTACAGTAATGACAATAGTACTCCATATGTATTAATTTTATTATTATTAGTTATTATTATTGTGATGGAAATTTGAACAAAAATGGGGAAAAGGAGAAGAGGAAGTGCAGAAGAGAACATTCGAGTGTACGTAGACTGCCATGCACGTGCATTTGAGGGCCGGCCGTCGGATGGATGAATATGTGTAATGATATAGATCACCAGGCCAATTAACGGTGCCTTCATACGTACCCAATAAATAATGCCTCATCACATGCATTCTTCAATTAATCACACTTCTTTTTTGGCATCATGATGCCAAC